GTGATGCGGGATCCATCTGCGGCTCAGTCTTCCTTCCCGTTTCCTTTTTTCGCGAAACATTTTTTTTCGCATACGAAAATACGAGACGGAAGTAATATGAACGAGTTCGTTATCGATGTTCTTGTAAACACTTCCGGACACATTGGGATTACAAGAAAAACTAAGGCTCGAAAAATATACGTACAAGGATACACATTCTTCCGAATTGTTAGAAAATTCATTTATTTTAGGAAGAAAGAAAATATAATTATAGAATACATATCTTACGTCAGACGATTTTCAAGAAACATGAATTTTGCGATCTCTTGTAAAAATAACGCAACGAAATTTACATGTTAAAGAATATTTGTTCGTTATCTTTTCTTGCGAAAACAAGTGTTTTTTTTTTTGTTAAAGCATTATTTATGCCGAGTCTGGTTACGCTGGCTAGTATGTATGGCCATATTTCTAGAACAGCAATGTATGCACGCGCACATGTGTGTCATATATTAAAGAAGAAATGGTTATTTATAAATTTCTCCTTTAGAATGATGAGTGGGAGTATCTAACAATAAGAAATAAATATATACGACAGGAGAAGATTATTACGTGTTCGATTCGATATAGATTTATTTCCCCGGCAAGATTTAGCAAAAAATCCCATTACATGAAATGGCACAATTATTCCAAATCATTCGAGTCAGTTCACATAAAATATGCCATACCGACGTCTCGGTCGAACCCGCATCCTACGTCAGAATATAATCCACTAATGGAATAGCATTTCGCAACTGGCCGACGCAATGATCTTGAAACTTTTTTTTATCCGCAACCGTAATTTTCACGTCACGTCCGATGTACGAATGGTAGCCCCTATACATTTATCGCTCATAACGAGTTACACGTTGCATATCTAAATACCATGCACAAGTGGTGAACGGTATTCGAACACGTTTATGATTAGTGCTACGCATTAGCTTACAAATTAATATAATACTAATTAATTTAATTTAATTTAAGAGATTTAGTTATTACAATTAGTTTAAAAATTAAAATTCGCAGGGAGATTTGTCAAATCAAGTTTACCCCAGCAATAAAAATATGAGGATTTAGAAAAATTTTTTTCTAAAGAATATTAGAAATTGATCTTTATAACATTTTACATATATTTTTTAGATTTTTAATCAGCCAGTGTAGGCACCGAAGTGTCCCCCTCCGACTTTGATGAACTTTTAATATATTGTTTTCTAGACAAAAATAAGAGACTGGCAGGTCCAATATGGACATGTATTTTTTTTATACGTGCCCATACGTGTCTAGGAGGTAAAACACTCCTTTGAAAAAGATCAGTTTTTTTTTTTCGAGATTAATATTTCAGAAACTATAAGAGATAGAAAAAAATTTTCAAATTAAAAGTTAAATGGCTTCAAGAGTACTTTACAACAATAACAAAAAAATTTTGAAAAATTATTTTTTGAAAAATTACAAAAATAAAAAATTTTTTTTGTTATTATTGTAAAGTACTCTTGAAGCCATTTAACTTCTAATTTGAAAATTTTTTTCTATCTCTTATAGTTTCTGAAATATTCATCTCGAAAGAAAAAAAACTGATTTTTTTCAAAGGGGTGTTTTACTTCCTAGACATGCGTATGGGCACATATAAAAAAAACGTGTTCCTTATTTTTGTCTAGAAAACAACATATTAAAAGCTCATCGGAGGAGGACACTTTCGTGCCTACACTTTAGTGTTTTTAAATCTTGAATATTTAGATTTTCCTGTACAATAAGGAATTTTTGAGATGAACTTAATTTCGTTAGAAAAAATTGAAAAATGACAAATTAATTCCATTTTAAAGTTAGATATTTTAATTAGATATATTTAATTTTGCTGAAAATTTTTGTATTGATTAAAAACCAGAAAAATATTCAGATGATTAAATATAAATTACCAGAAAAATTAAATATTAATTTTTTAAATTCTAATTAAAATTCAGTATCTCAAAAATATTCTGTAAAATAAAATTAGATCGAATCTTTTTATGTCATACAATTACATGAAGAATAGTATATCACAAAATCCGTGAAAACTATGCATTTTTGGACGCATTTTTGCGCAGAGGCTCGTGTTGAACAAAAAATGAAATATTCAAAATTTAAAAATATTGACGAAAAATTAATTTCTAATATTTTTTAAAAATTTCCTAAAAATCATCCATTTTTTATGGCGTTATAATACACTTAACCAGTTCACTGGTACACTCGAAATCAAAGTTTTGTGCCAAAACTGGTGAGAGCAAATAAATTCGTATTTTACATAAAATTTTATCTATAAGGAATTTTTTACGTTCTTGGTGACAAATCAAAGGTCGAAATTTCAAAATTTAAAATGGCGAATCCAATATGGCGGACTAATTTTATTTCATTATGGAAAAGGTCAAATTCAATATATTCACGTTTTTCGAGTCTCTTATGATGATGAATCTATAGACAAAATTGCAAAATTTAAATTGGCAGATTCAATATGGCGGTTTCTAGTGATTAACTTTGATATTCTGTTATGGAAATATATTACACTCGATATGTTTTTTGGTCGCAGATAACGGATTAGTTCAAGACATTCAAATTTGAACATATCGAATTTGAATCTTCTCTAATGGAATAACAAATATAATAATAGAATAACAAAATTAATTCACTACACTAAATTCTAAATTTTGAATTTTAAAATTTCGATCCCGCCGATTTGTCATCAGCGACCTAAAAAATATCTATGAAGTTTCATGCAAATCCGTTGAAAATTGGCAAAGTTATTCATAGTGGACATTATATATTCATATATAGGCCATTACTAGTTGTGGCACTTTTTTTTGGCCATATATGGGCCATTACCAGTGAACTGGTTAATGTAATGATGAGATTCGTCGATCAAAATGTACAAGAGTTCATCGTATCCACGATGTTTACCCAATATCAATCGGTCTTCTCATATACAAACCATCTCGATTATTTATTGATTGTCCAGCTTTATTCACAATTATATCTAAAGTTATATCTAAAGTTGTTTGTAAACATTATCACGTCCGCTCCCCGATATAATTTGATAGATCTTGTCAGCGATAATCCAATTGGACAATCACCAAACTTATAATTCGCGACATTTCTAATCACATTTTTGCGGGGTTGCGCGTTGCCTATATCGCCGATTGCTTGTATTGTCGAGAGAGAAAAAAACAGTCCTCCCCTCCTCTCCGCTCCGATCGAATCGAACATTCTTCCACATATACACACGCGTGCCCGTACACACGTGATACGTACATACGCTTGCGCGTACGCCCTTCTTCGCCCGCGCGTTCCTTCAGGTTATCCATGTTCTCTGTTCGTTCTCCAGCAGCACAAATTTCGTTCACACCTGGTAGAATCTCCCATGTGAGAAAGAGAGAGAGAGAGTGAGTGAGTGAGTGAAAGAGAGAGAGAGAGAGAGAGAGAGAGAGAGAGAGAGAGAGAGAGAGAGAGAGAGTGAGAGAGAGAGTGAGTGAGAGAGAGAGAGAGAGTGAGAGTGAGAGGAGACGTTCTCGGAGCGCACGCTCGACATTGCACAGCACGCTGTGTGTAAGGCTCCCGCGCCCGTTTCTTCCCCTTCCCTTTCGCCTATCATTTTCCCTACCACCTTCGTTGAACGCTTCCACCACTCCGGACCCACGACGTGTCGGCTCCGAGACGTTCGGGAGGAAGAGGGAGATGGTGGTGGGAGGAGAAGGTACACGATCGAGAGAGGGGAAGCGGTCGACTCTCCTGTTTCGGCCGTGCACTAGAACTTGACTCCTAAGCTCTCTACAGTGGCGGCGCAAGCTTTATCGGCGACTTCTTTCCGCTCGCTGCCTCGTTCGTCCCTCTCTCTTTCTCTTTCGTTCTTTTTCTCTCTTCCTTGCGCACATTGTTCAGTAATCTTTCTCTTGTTATTTCGCTCTGCCTCTCATCTTTTTCCTCATCTATCGGTGTGGCACAACGAGACTCGCTTGGCAAAACCTCGAGCAGTTAGATTGTGTTTCCATCATCATCATTGCCGTCGTCGTCGTCATTATGGTACACGTTTTCATCGACTCGCGACAATCGATAATAATTCTGCTCATCAAATTTAATCGCGAATTCTGGAAAGGGAGCAGGATTCTGATAGATTTCGCTGGATTTCGCCGCAACTTTTTTTTTTTATCACTCGAGATCTTTGCGCAGAATCGTGTATATCAATTCCTTCTGTCGTTGTGGTCTCACACCTAGTAAATTACATACACGTATAATATGTAAAAGGAACTCGAATATATTTTGCCTCCAATGTCGATGCTTTCAAAATTGTTTTGAGGAATTAGCGGAAAGAGTTAGAAAATAGTTTATTTTACATAATATAGAACTTATTCTTCGTACATGATTCTGCGAAATTCTCGCGTGCATTTCTACCTCAAATTGGACTTTCGATCATTAAGATTTTCATTATTGTTCCATTAAATTGCTCGTAAAAAAAGTAAAGGCGCGTCTTTGCCCTTCCCTCCTCTCCGCTGTCCTCTCTCCATCCTCTAACCAGAATTTCGTTCAATCGCGTCTCGCGCCGTTCGAAATCAGCTTCCGCGATAATCGAACCACGATATTCTCTCGACATTATAATTATCGATAAAAATCCCGCAGCTGCCGAGACTGCCCGAGAGATGACCGACCGCTCCCCCTCTCTCTCTCTCTCCTTCTCTCTTTCTGTTTCTTTTCCTCGTTCTCTCGTCAAGCGCAACAAAAGTGCAAGTGGAAACGGAGCGTTAGCCGCCGGGCGGGACTTTGTTGCACTCTTTCCACCCTTTTCGCTCCCCTCCCCGTCCGCTCTTTCGCTCGCCGACTCCTCCTCGCCATCCCCCCCCTCGTCGTCGTCGTCGTCTCTTTCCTCGCGCGTGTCCCTTCTACTCCCCCTGACCGTCCACCGCCCCGTCCTCCCTCTCCCCCTTCCCCTCCTCTTCGCGCTCCGAGACTGCACGCTCACATGCAACGAGAGCCAGACCGGCCGGCTGGCATTCAGTCGCCTTTAGCGCCGTGCATCTCCGAGTCAGTCAGTCAGTCAGTCATTGAGTCAGTCAGTCGGTGAATCGGGTCGCTCGGGTACGCGCGAGAGATATCGCCGCTCGCTCTCTCCGTATACCGTGTGTAACTTACACTTTACTCTCGCCTCTCCTTTCTCTCTCTCTTTCTCTTCCCTCTTTCTCCCTCCCTCTTTCTATCTCAACCTTCCGTTCCCTTCTTTTACTCCGCTGTTGCGTTTCTTTCTCTCTTTTCCTCTTTTTTTTTTCGCTCGCAAGACTTCGCTCGCGCTGGTGACCGGGTCGCGCGTCACGGATTCTTCGCATCTCCCTTCCCCTTTCTCTCCGCGAGAGTATATGATCCAAATTGTCTTGCTTTACTTTTCACGTTTCGCGCGGTGAGAAGGCGAGGGAAGGATTGTCGGCGAGACAGGGCTCGCCGGGGCTTCAGGTGTTACTGGCACGAGATTAGAAAGAGATAAAAGTTTATGCGTGTGCTTGTTACGAAAGGCAATGGCAAACCACGGAAAAGAATCTTGCGAAGAACACTCTCTCGAATGTAGCCATTCGGAATCGGCATTAAACTGTAGGTCCCACATATGTGTGATAATCCGATGCGTAACACAGGTATATGAAAAAGGGAGATCGTCACGTTCGAAATCGAACGAAAAGGACCGAGAGGAAGAGTTATGTGTATAATAATGTCGAAGAAGCGCAACGATTGTGAAAGCCGACGTCCGCGCGGAGCCTAGCCTCCGTGGGGTGGGCACGCGTTCGCTCTCGAAATTCGAGAAGGCCGCCGCTCTCTCGGTGCAGTGAACGCGGATTTGTTGTTGCCTGCGTGCCACGAGCTCGGTGGACTCCGTGCTGGCTCCTCGCGCTGCCAAATCTCTCGCGCGCTGGCTGCGAACGAACGTTCGCTCTCGGACGTTGCACGTTTCGTGTTGCTTATTTTCGTCGCTGACGACGCGTCGCGTATGCAAGGCGAAGGCTCCGTCAAGTTGGTTAACCCTTTTGTTATCGCGTGCCAAAAAACTTGGCGGCGATACACGGCACGAGTAACTCTCGAATTTTGAAACTAGGCGGTTATATCTTTTCGGAATACGCGCGCTCCTTTCTTCTCTCGCAAATTTTTCTAATTAATATGCATTCTTATTAATTTTTAGATTCGCGTAGAAATTTTTTTGCGCGCTATTTTTACATATTAATTTGTTATTACGTATTTGTAGTTTTAGGAAAATCGGATTACAATTATTCTTCTTTCTCTTATCTTGCTAGAAAAATTCCATCGTACTTTACATTTTTTTATATTTCCTGTCACAATATATATTTTCAAACTCATCTTCTTAATTTTGCCAAATTTCAAATTAACAAACAATCGCTTTCAACGAACGCAATTTGAAGTTTTTTAAAAACTCGCGGTCCAACCGTCCAAGGTCACATGTGGCAGAGACAGAAATTGAGCAATATATATCGTCGATTTGACGTATCCTCGTCGGGAGGCGCGCCATCACTTTTCATTCCTTAAATCAAGCTCTCGCCGCATTCTCTCGAGCCCGCGAAAGCTCGAAAATATATAATAAATCCCGTTTAAAGGGCCTCGTTCGTACGATTATCGGTGACACGAGGCGGTGTCTCCGGCGGCGATCGATAACGCGCCAAGTGGCCACAGTGTGCCAATGGGTTTTCCCTCACGCGATCGCCTGGTCTCGCATGTTTACGCGCCAGCGATCGCAGCAGCCGAGAGCGCATCCCGCGGTCGCGGCCGCGGCCGCGTCGTCCTTCGGGAGCATTTTCGCGACCTTCACACGAAGGCTGCGTTCCGGCGACGACGGCGGCGGTGGCGGCGGCGGCGAACCGCCCGATACCCCTCACGACGGCGTCGCGAGAGAGAGAGATCGATAAACGGCGGCTCCAGCTGTTGTACGGCGGCCTTGCCTGGGTCGACGGGCTGCGAGAGTCGCCCCGGCTTTTAACCGGAGAGATGGCGAACTCTCTCACCAGCGATCTCGCAGGCACGTCGACCACGCGGAAGTAATCTCTCGAAATAATCCCGCGAGACTAAATTTAACAGCGGAACGGGTGAGAATAGCGGCGACCCGGGAAACGCAAGCTGAGGGGACGAGAGGGAGGGGGAGGGGACGGTGGTGCGAGCAGGTCGCTCGCAGGGTGAGAGAATGGCATACGTATCTCGTGATTGTTTCTTAGTGCGTCATAAATATGTGAATTATGTCTCGCTTCTAAAAAGAGATTCGGCGCGCTAGATAAACAGATACGGATTTAGGGTTGCACCGAGATATCAAGGGAATTTAATCTTGATTTCGTCTTGTCTTATCTCGAATTTCGAAGCAAGATCGGAGCGAAATGTTTATTAGTTATCGAGAGAAAGATTGTCAATATTATTCGGGTCTCGTCAAGATTATTGATTTTTAGAAAAAGCTAAAATATACTGTATATTTGTAAATTGGATTCTTATAAAATGTTACAAAAATTACTATACATATATTAGAAACAACTTAGAAACTTGAAAAATTTTATTTAACAAGCGAAAATATAATTATATTAACAAATTTAGAAACAATAAACAATAAACTAACAATATAAAATTTTATATAAAGACAACGAATATATAATTATTTTAAATTATAATATAATTATCTTAAATCATTTAAAGGTTAAATGTTATTTTAAATAATTATTCTCGATATTAGATAAAAATTATTATAAATTATTATAATTAATAAAATCGAGAGACAAGACAATACACAAGGTGAGATTTTTTTCTCTACCAAGTTTTACTCAAGACGAAGACAAGTTTAAGTTTTCTCACGAAGACAAGAGTTAAGTTTTGGAAAATTTTCAATACAACGTCTTGTCTCGAGTCTTGCGCAATCCTAGATGCTATTTGTTCACCGTCAACGGTCGCAGAAACGCGACTCCGTCACGAGCGTCTCGATCATCTTAGCGGGTGTCGTCACGTGCTATACTTGAACCCGTGCAAGCAACCCGATGATTTCTCTCCCGTTGCGGCGTCTGTCACGCGCGGCTCGACACGCACACGTGCTTCGCGAATTTTATTTTACGTACGACGCAGAAATGTTTTCGCGAGTGTGCTTCAACATCGTTCGATCCTCGATAGAGGAGGGGGACTTTTTTTACACGCGTTAAATTTAATTAAACGATCTTAATATTTTGGTGAAATAAAATGCTGTGTCTTTTATGAACGAACATTTAATCTTCTAAAAACTAACAGTGTTTATAAAAAAATAATTTTCTTCAGCGTTTCCCATATGCTTTCTAAAAGTAGTAAAGAGATTGACGCAGTCAATTGGAATTCAACCTGAATAGATAAGAAAGATCAATAGAAACATCACGTTTGCCTGAGAGCTTAAATTAACAAATGTTGAGATAAAATCTCGGCATCGCTCCAAATTTATTAAAGAATGCACGGTGGAGAGATAGTACAATGCTGCTTTACACGTACAATACGGTCCTTCTCGATTATGCAGCTAGTGTCGTCACAAGTGTATGCATGTGTACGTTTCTTGCGTTATACTTGAACCTGCATAACGAGCCATCCCTGATGACTTCTTGCCGCGCTATCGCCTGTCGCACGCGTCTCCCGCGGCTATACATATCGCAATTGTTGAAAATTCAATAAGCTGTCCCGCGCGCGGGCTCTCTTATTGTGGAAAATCAATGGCTCCGAGATGTGACATTCAACGGGCGAGTCGCACACACAATGTTCCGAGGAACCGGCCGCACGAATCGGTGTGCCTTCACGTGCCGCCGTCGTTTGTACATAAGCCTCGTTTTCACATGACGATCGGCGTGACCTCAAATGTCACGACATTTACGTTTATAACGATATGCGATGCTGCATCGTAATCCGTAAAGAGCTCGTGCCTTTTAAACCAGTTGAGATAAAATCGCCAATTAAAAAAAAAATATATATATATACAGGGTGTCCCAAAACTCATAATAAATCTTTCAAAGACAGATTCCTGGGAGCATCTGAAGACGATTTTTCCTCAACGAAAATGTCGAGGCACTAATAATTTTCGAATTATAAGTGATTGAAAATAAGGGGTCTTTCGTAAACTAAGATTTGTAGAAATAAAATATTAACAAAACCACATTCTTTGATTAATTTTAAATAGAGTTTACTTTAGTTGAGTTTTAATTTAAGACTTAATTGCAAAGATGTATGATGACAAAAATCGGGAACATGCAAAAAATGATGGCCTTCATCGACATTTTCGCTGAGGAAAAATCGTCTCCAAATGATCTCAGGAATCTGTTTTTGAAAGATTGATTATGAGTTTTGGGACACCCTGTATATATATTTAATAATTTTGTTATCCTCGTTTCAGGCGGGAATGAATCGTATTCTTTGATAATAGATTCTTCATCGAAAATCTAGGCTTGTTTGACATAATTGATTGCCATCTCGTTTTTTCTTTGAAAAAAGTATCAGAGCCTTTCTTGCTCAAGAAAAATTGAACCCTTGCTATAATTACGTTATCGATCTATTTTCGGAGAAGAAAGAAAAATTGTCTCAACCAATATATATTGACCAGTTGCAAGCATTAAATTGAGAATGTAATCGCAAATTGCATTGTTATGCCCTCAAAGATAAAATTGCCTTTCGATGCTATTCTGTTTGCTTTACGCCGCGAAAATCAAATTCCGATCCCTGGACAATGAATATGGTCTATCCGCGGCAACAGCATTACAATACTGATACTTTTCATGATGATTTGTACATTGACAATCGTTCAATAACACACGTCAAATGGAAATGAGGCATTATTATCGCGAAGCTCGATTTTCCGAGGCTGTGCGCGTGTTTGAAATCCAAATTGCGCTGAAACGAAGATAAAAATTTTTTTTATTTTGAGACTGACTAACTTAACGTTCGACGCTGTAAAAGGTTAAATTTGTTTTAAACGTTCAATGTTTTAAAGGAAAAGTTAAATGACAGAAAAAAATGGTCCATTTTAAATTTATGCTTTATTAATAAAATATTCGCGATGTTTTAAATTTAAATATTATTTCGCATAGTGACTTAGTTTAATAAGAATAAATTCTCTCGTTTTCTATTCGTTCGAAGCAGCGATTCAATCGAGCAAGTCAAAATCTGCATCCCACTGGCGGCGGCACGTGAAAGAGATTGTGTGTCTATCGCGCGTCATGCATAAAATATAATCTCCTCCTCTATAACGACGGCATATTTTTGTCGTTGACCCGTGCAGGATACCAGAATTAACGTGCCAATCGATCGTTTCGCAGGACGATATACCGTCCCTCGCTCGCTCGCTCTATAATAACGTTATCGATCATCCCCGCCTTTTAATTACGTCAGCCTATCGCCGGCCTCGAGAATATATCGCTTTTGATAACGCATATAATATACGTCACTCTTCGAAATTATGACGCGAAAAGGCGTATTATCGATTTTTATTTTATTTTATCATTTGACGTTTGAGTGCGTGGAGTGGTAGAATACAAAAGGATTCTTGTATGCCTTCAAAATTCCGAGATGCTCTCTTACGCAGGCTTTTTACGACCGTTGTTATCCTTGGCAATCGCATTCGAACACTCGAAATTGTATAAATAGTACGAGATATATCTTTGGCGAGCTTGAGAATCTCTTGGGCCTTTAACATTTAATCGCGAAATTTACTGTAATCATTATTCACGGCTAGTGTACTTTGTGTCATTTTGCGGTCAACCACTCGTAATAAGAACATAATTCCGAATCTAATCATTTTTTTTTGCGTTAAACGTATCAGAATGTTCAATTTATAAAACATCCAATTTACGATCGCACACAATTTATCGTCACGAATCCATGTAACACCCGATATATATATATATATATATATATATATATATATATATATATATATATATATATATCGATCTGCCTTTCCTCTATAGAGCGTGGGCCAAACGCAATCTTGACGTTGACCTTGAACTTCAACCTCAACATTAGCGATTAGTCGCGAGAGTCGTTCCGCCATCCACCCACGATCGACGCGAATGATTGATTCACGATTAGGAAACCATCAAGCAACTGAACGATAGAACGTGGAACAAATCGTGTCTGAATTATATACATGAAGCCCGGTTGGAAAATGGATTGATTGAGAAAAAAAAAAGAAACATATAAATATATCTCGATCCAATGGAGAAATTAGAAATCGTTGAATTAATAATGAACATTCAACAAATTATTAAATCTTTCGGATAGATCGTGCGACGAAATTATCAGTTGAATGACCGAGGATCATGGTGAAAGCTATTTTGAAAGATAAACGCACAAATTATGGACTCGTTCCAATTTTGCTTCTCGATTGATCGTCTATCTAGCCAATGCCAGAGGTAGCCAATTGACACGTCCGACAACCCTGCCGCACGACAAGTGCAACAACAGTGGCACGTACACGAAGACACACGTGCATGTGCATTTCGTGTAATTGTCTGTGCATTACGTAAGTGAGCGCGCCTCTCTATCCCCCTCGTGAGTGAGTCGACATCGATGGCGAGACAAGGCAATCGCATTTCCTGCGTGCGTGTGTGGTCAAGGTCGCCGAGCGCATGCGTGCGAGAGATGGAGAACGCTTATTTCGAGATCGCGACGTAGCGGGTGCGCGCGAGAAACTGCATAAAAGTTGGCGATAAATATATTTAGAGCCTCTCGTCGTGAGAAGGAGTGCATTTTTAGCCGTCCGGAGAGAACCAGATCACCGACGTCTTTTTATAATAATCCTGTAACGCGACCTCGGAGGAGTGCTAACGTTGCTCGATTACTTAACACATCGACTTCTCCGCATCTTTTGTGTGTGTGTGTGTGTGTGTGTATTAAGAAATTTATATATAATATAATTTATATAGATTAAGAAATTTATATATAATATAATTTATATATATTAAGAGAAGTTATTCGGGATCATCGATTAAAATGGGACACCCTGTATATATATATATATATATATATATATATATATATATATATACCCCGAATAACTTTTTTAATTTTGATTGTAGGAAAAAATGTTTCACACAAAAGTTGTATGGCTTGAAGGGGGACATGAGATGGTATCATTGGTTTTATCTTGAAAAGTTATTTGAAGGTCACATGAAGGCCACCTTCAATTTTTTTAATGGAACCCCCTATTTTTTATTACTTATTCTTCTAGCTTATCTCGAGAGCTTTTCAAAACACTATAATAAAGTATTTCTTCATTGAGTACTTTTCGAGTTATGAGGCTTGAAATCATTTCTTAATTTTACATAAACCATAAAATATCTAGTAAAATATTCATTTTTCGATTAACTTACCTTAATACTTTTATGTACAAAATAATGAGAGGAATCAATTGCTGTAAAGAAAACACATAATTATTTCGAAAAAATATGTAATTTGCAATTAACAATTCCATATTTTTTTTTAAAAACAACTGTGTTTTTCCTTTACACCAATTGATTCCTCTCATTATTTTGTACATAAAAGTATTAAGGTAGGATAATCGAAAAATAAATATTTTACTAGATATTTTACGGTTTATGTAAAATTAAGATATTATTTCAAGCCTCATAACTCGCAAAGTACTTAATGAAAACTAACTTAATTATAGTGTTGTGGAAAGCTCTCGAGATGAACTAAAAAAATATGCAAAAGCATATAGGGTATCCCATTTAAAAAGTTGGATGTGACCTTCACGTAACCTTTAGGTGACTCTTCAATGTCAAACTAAAGACACCATCTTATGTCCCCCTTCAAGCCATACAACGTTTGTCTGAAACATTTTTTCCTACAATCAAAATTAAAAAAGTTATTCGGGGTCATCGATTAAAATGGGACACCCTGTATATATATATATATATATATATATATATATATATATATATATCGTTTTTATTTTAATCATCCTCAGATCTTTAAAATCAGATAACGGACCGGACTTAGATTCCAGATGCGTACTTTAAAAGTACGTATCATCACGCAAACATTAAAGTCTTTTGGGAGGTATTTTTCTCCTTCCGCTTTTATTTTTTTCTCTCTTCTATTTTTTATCGCTACGAAAGAGCAAAATAAATGATCGCAAAAAGCGAGATTTATACCGAGTTCCAAATCCGCATTATCTCTCCGAGCGAAATTGAGGTATAAAGATGCTTCTTTTTTAGGATGAGAATCGGGAATCTTTTTGCGAATTTTTTGGACCACTTTTTTCTCATACACGCCCGGGACCGAGCATTCATCTTCGCGTCTGCTCCCGATATCCCGCGCCGGGATTCCCGAGGGAACCCGCGCCCGCGCGTTTCACCCGTTCGCGTACTTCTGGTCTCCGACCGGCGGCGACCTCGCGAGACGTCTCTCCTTTGGGTGGCTTTCTCCCCTTGGGCTTCTTAAACGGCGCAAAAAGCGTAAGATACGTGTCTGTCTGCGCCGACTTTCGATCTGGCCGCCCTTCTCTCAGTCATCTCACACGTGTCGAATAATCAAATATTCCACAGGGTGTCTACTCCTTTGGAGAATCTAGATTTCTCAGGGATTTTTTTATATCTGGAAGAATCAGAGAATTCTCATGGAATTTTTCCTACATGGAAATTTTTGAAAAATTCTCTTCTTTGTAATTTCTTCATAATTTTGCTTTCATGTTGTCGGCTAAATATTTAAAATATATTATAAATATATATCTATCTTTGTTTACATTTTCAATGCCTTCAAAAAAAATTCAATATGCAGTATTCTTTTTATTATAATTTTTAATGATAAAAAAATATTATGCGAAAAAGATAAAAAAATGTTTATCATACGAAAACTATTCGGTTCTCTTTTTTTTATTTGCAAATCTGATATTTGAAATTTAAAAGGCTCTGTGTATGAATGAAAAATATTAGAAAACCGCATACAAGGAAAAGACTTATTTTAAAAGATTGCACAAAATATTTCTTAAAGTATTTTCTTTATCTGGAATTTTAAACAAAGATACATTAAGGATGAAAGAATTTTCAGGGAATTTTTTTTATTTAAGACTTGAACAGACACCCAGTTACGCAACATCGCTCGACTCGCGAAGCCACGATTTTAGCCGCGATTCGAAATAGAAATACTCAAACGTGTTTTCGAGCAATCAAACAGCTGTGCAAATCATCCAATCCAATCCAATTGAATTGGTCGCGAGTAACGTGGCGCGTCTCCTTCGGTTCTCCCGATTCGTCCGATCTATTCTTCGCAGTGACAAGATAATTTGACGAACGACGGAGAAAGGACAACGACTTCCCTCCGTCGAGTCGAGACGTGGCAGACACGCTCGGTTGTTTTGCAATCCGGGCCACGATAAAAATTAAAGCGCTGCTTACACCCGTGACTAATTACACTCGTCATGCCTTGGCACACTTAAATCCATGTTTCTCGAATCCTCGTTTCATTGTATCCGAAACTGTAACTCACCTTTAATCGCTGATTACGCGTCTCGAAATCTTAATCTCCTGTCGGGGTGTTTATACCGGGAAAAAAACTGGATTACTTATTTGAAAGAAAAAAAAACGCGATAAGAGATAGAAAAAAGAAATAACATGTTTACGGAAGATACGTCTATCGCGGTTTTATGTTTCGCAATTGAACTTCGCGATTAATCTGCACAAATTTCGCGGTAATAATGGCCGAATTGTGTGATCAATGATAAAATCGAGGAGATAACGCCGCGCGTTCAAAATCGGAATTATGAATAAATCAGTCAATGTAAAAGATCCTGATAATACTATCATAATGTCATGCATATTTAGAATCGGCGTACGTGAAAAAAATTATTTATTATGCACATTTCTTATAAATTTTCCTTACGCTGTAAAATGTATTCTAAATGTGTCGAAATTAACGAGTTTGTTAAGATGTAACATTTTTCCTTCCGAGCGATTTTTGTCATTTATTTTTCTCCTTCATTAATTATTTAAATATACAATTTAAATTAAATGGATTCTTAATAATAGGAAATATAATGTTGATTTATTGATCGAAAGGAATGTAAAGGTTGGAAACCGTAATCGCGAACATAACTTGGTGCGTTATTGCTTCGAGTTCTTGGCTGAAAGAGAATATGAGCTACATCTACTATCTCATCAATAAGAATGTGGGATTCAAGGTCGCTGTATGATTCGGTGAAGGATTTTTATCGGTTTACGTCCGTCCGTCCGCCCATCCGTCAATATCTCTTTCTGCTCTCCTCCAAACCACTCTTCTTTCTGCTGTAGAATAGTTAAGTAACCGGTCGCGCGATCGATCACGAACGAACCAAAGAAGTGCAGTGAGCAACCATACCAAATCGATACCAAAAGAAGGAATTTAGCTCGAGCGAGGGAAGGAAGGACAAGGTGGAAGGAAGGACGACGATTCGCGAAATGTCGCGGTGAGGACGGGACGAGGGATCCGTTTTTTTGAAAAGAAGCGAAAAGTAAGACAGAAAGAAAGACTGGAAAAAAAGAGAAAACGAAAACGCGAGGAGAAAAAAAACGCGGGGTGGCGTGCCTCGGGGGGGGGTGTGCGTGTGCGAAAGATAATAAAAAGCTGACGAGATAAATCGGTCCACGGTGACGAGTGAAAGTAGAACGGGCAAGCAGCCGGGCAAGATGATGAAGAAGGAGAAACCGATGATGTCGGTGACGGCTATCATCCAGGGGACTCAGGCCCAGCACTGGGCACGTGGCGGCAACAATTGTACGTATTATAACGTCAATATATTTTTCATTATTGTTGCGCGATCAATTGCGGCGCAATTTAACTTTTCACAAATGACAAGAAAACAACATCTTGATCTAATCTATATTAATAAATATATCTTTGATTATTTTGCGAAAGGATTTATAATAGGATTTTAAATACATTATAATATTTATTATACAGGGTAGCCTCAAACGTTCTAGCCAGACTTTGAGATCTTATAGGAAATTTAATTGTGAACAAAAAATTTCCGATAAACATGGGTCCAAAAATGCTTCTTTAAGAAGTTATCGCTCAAAAACCTCTGATGAAGGAAAAGCAAAAGGTGAAAAGAAAATGAAATAAAAAGAAAATGAAACTAAATAAATTTCTTGAAAAACGTCTTTATTCATTTTCTACTATTACATGCTATTACTAAAATATTAATTTAAAAAAAATTATTTAAATTTTTATAAAAGAAAAAGATTTTTATTTTTTATTTTTATCGTTTTTTTTCAAGAAATTTATTTAGGTTCATTTTCTTTTTATTTCATTTTCTTTTCACCTTTTGCTCTTCCTTCATCAGAGGTTTTTGAGCGATAACTTTTTAAGGAAGCATTTTTCCATGTTTATAGGAAATTTTTTGTTCAGAATTAAATTTCCTATAAGATCTCAAAGTCTGACTGGAACGTTCGGGGCCACCCTGTATATTATATAAATTGACACTATATATATAATGTTTCTAATATATTACAATATATTATAATTATATGATTGGCTATATTAAAAGGAAAAAAGAGAGAGAAATCTCTATTTTTAATTAAAGTTAGCAAATGAGTCATAGCGAATGAAATCAGGACAGGAAAGTCAAGGCGTAAGTTTTCATAAATTCATGTTTTGAAACTTGATCGTATGAATCTAATTAATCAATTTTACGAATAATGTCTATCTATTCTTAAACAATGGACCGTACTCATTAGAGATAATCTGATATTGATGAGATTATCGATAATAAGATTACTGATATTTAATGATTCAGCCACATGTCTCTGCAAATGCACGATTTAGATTGATAAACATATTGTGCTTTATTAACGGATTATGAATTGTGAATGCGCTCTGAATACACATGAAATTAATATTTCTGTAATATAAGTGAAATAAGTGTATAATGCTATTTCAATCATATACAAATATACAGTTTTATATAACGAACTTTATGATAGGGACGTTAAATATATTAAAGGGAGACCGAAATAAGGTGCAGTGTCTGCGGGCGATCGTGCTAATGAACGCCTGTGTTATTACCTTCAAGTACGCGCCATTGTAAATTGGAGTTTAAAAGTGTGTAAACGAGATGGACTATCCTACGATGATAATTAGCGTGGCAGTGCTAGACTGTCGATTAGCGGGATTCTCAAGGTTTGATTTTATTCCATCACAACGCTGCTCATAGTTAAAATGTTATTTTTCACCGCGATGGCCGTGAAACCAACGATATTCGTGTAACAATTCTGCGTACTTCCTGTTGCGCGAGCGAATCGTAAAAAAAAAAGACTCGTAAAAATACAAATTAAATGTCTATACCTTTCTCACGACCTGCTACAAAAAGATACTCGCTTGAGGGATTCGCAAAATGTCTCTTTTTTTAAAGAATTGTTTTAATACACTGTAAATTCTATGGCGTCTATTTTATGAAAAAATAAAGAAAATCTGAAATTTTTAAGGATTTTCTTTTTATCTGGAAGAATCATGGAATTCTCTGAAATTTTACTGATCTTTTCAAAAATGTTCTCTTTAATAATTTTGTCCTTGGCAAATCAAATGAATTATGCCTTCAAAATGTATTGTAAGTATATATTATACGTATTTATCTTTTTGTTCTACAAACATTCTATGTTTTAACAAAATATATCGAATATATAGTACATATTTTTTATTATAATTTTTAATGATAAAAAAATGAAAATGTTACGCAAGTGAAAAATATTTAATATATCTTACGGGAACTATTCATTTTTTTAGTACATTTGCAAATCTAGCCTTTGAAACTTAAATGGCTCTGTTTTTTTGTATGAATAAAAAACGCAAAAATAAAAATTTTTAAAACAGTAAAAAACTTATTTTAAAAGTTGCGTCAAAAGATCTTTATAAAATATTATTTTTACTTAAAATTTTGAAGAAAAATAAAAAGATCAGAGAATATTCAAGAAATTCTCAATCTTTTTACAAAAAAATATAGAAAAATCAGTTTGTTGAAATTTTTTTCAACGTTCGCGAAACTCGTATCAAGAAGCAAAAACACTCGAATAGTATTTTTTATCGATTCCATTTTCTATATCTTACGAGTACGCGAGTACGGCACGCTGCTCCCCAAAATCACTATAACGCGTCGCGCGTATTCATTATAAGCAAAGTGAGTCACACCCGGTACGTTGCGATAGTCCTGTCGAGACGACCGATACGCGTCGCACAACTCGACGCGCGCGCGCGCGCACATGTATATCTATAAATATATATATATATATATATATATATATATATATATATATATTGCTATATATATATATATATATATATATATATATATATAAGAAAAAATATGTAACTGTTAATTGCAAATTAGATATTTTTTTTTAAAACATCTATGGGTTTTCTTTACACCAATCGATTTTTCTCATTATTTTGTACATAAAAGTATTAAGGTAAGATAATCGAAAAATGAATATTTTACAAGATATTTTAAGATTCATGTAAAATTAAGAAATGATTTCAAGCCTCATAACTCAAAAAGTATTTATTGAAAAAATGTTTATTTATAGTGTTTTGGAAAGCTCTCAAGATAAGCTACAAGAATATGCAAAAATATATAGGGTGTTCCATTTAAGAAATTCAAAATGACCTTTACGTAACCTTCATGTGACTCTTCAAGGTCAAACTAATGGCACCATCTTATGTCCCCCTAGAAACCATACAACTTTTGTCTGAAACATCTTTTTCTAAAATTAAAAATAAGAAAGTTATTTGGAGTGGGACATTAAAATAGGACACCCTGTATATATATATATATATATATATATATATATATATATATATATCCTACGTAGATGCTAAATGTACGGGGTGAAGGTCGGCTATTGAGACGTGAATGGCGCAATTTGCGGCCGCGACGAGTGAGCGAGAACGCGCGCGCGCGGGCTCGTTATCAGTCGCCGGCTCTAAAAGCGGCCTTAGAGCGGGCTTTAAAGCGCGAGCGCGGAGGAAGGTCGTGCGAATGCGCCTCGTTATCAGCGTCCATGGACGCGATTTACGAGCGGCCTTTTCGCAGCTTTATCGTCCACGTGTCCCTATTGCCGCGCGCAATCAATCGCGCGCGCGCATACGCGGCGATTTTCCGCAGAAATGTAAACACGATGATGAGGCGCGCGGGACCAATGATCGATGCGCTTCCGAGAGAAATAAATTGATACCATGGTCCAGAACTGACCAAGTCAACAGCGCGGCGATTAATTTCCTTGTACGTTTTCTGATAACGGCTCTCCATTTGAGCACTCTGCTCTAAAAGCTGTTCTGTACGTTGTGGAAAAAATGAAGAGAAAAAAATCTTGTAGAAATATCGTATACTGTTATCATTTTTAAAAGAGAATTTTGACTTTTATTATTACATTATTCAATTTTTTTTTCCTTTATTCGCTCGTATTAACTCGATCATGTCGGATTAAGTAGAATGATGAGATAACTTCGAAATTCTCTCAGTCAACTATAATCGTGATCGATCATGCTGCATCAGGCAGGCATCTTAAATGGAGACACCGGTTGGCATAAAATTGCTTCGCAAGGCTCTTCGAGCGATAAGACGACCGTTTGTTATCTTGCTATGCACCAATAATGTATAAATTAAAAATAAAAGAGGAAAAACGCGATATGCGGAATGAAGAGATACCATGTGTGTTACCGCCCTAGTCAATGCTCCAAATCGCCTCTCTCGTCGTCCTCGATTCATCGAAAAGTCGATCAATCACACATTACATATCGACACGTCGTGTTAAAATTACGAATTACCAAAAGTGATCAAAAGTTGCACACTCGACTCAATTTTCCAGCACGATTTTCACTTTTTTCATCGTCTCCAGGTTCGATTAATCGACGTAACGCACAGTAGACTAAAATCGAAATTTCATGGCCAAAACTCATATTTCTGAGATTTATTTCAGATGATTATAAATACAGTTTTGCGATGTCATCAAATCGATGTCATCATTATAAATTATTATCATTGTCAGTTTTTCTCATCACTTATCGGTAAATATATTGCTCAAAATATTGCATATTCACTACGAAGGTTAATATTAATCACCTTTGTCACTCTGCATTGTATCAATTTAACTTTAAATAATAATTGCATCGTATATACTTGATGCAAAAATATACATGATTCTAGAAAACGTATTTTAAGATAAATATTTTAATAAACGTATCTTAAGATAAATATTTTTATATTTTGCTATATCTTTTTTTCATTTCTGTAAATAGTAATAATAAGTTTTGAGAAAAACATATGATCTTTAGTCAATAGAAAGTACAATAGAAAGAATGACTTTAAATTTCGACCATCTTATGGCCATTGAAATTCGAATCAAATTGTATGCCAAACGATGCTATATATATGATGGCACATTAATTTCGGAACAATTTTAAATTGCATAGGGATAGTTTTGGAGACACGGAAAATCGAAATGGTCAAATTCTCAATATTTGTCCAAACACAACAAACACAAAGGGAAAATTAAAACTTCTTTGATGGGATTTTATCTGGAATTAATCAAAATGGTTCACTGATAATCATACTAAAAATCCAACTTCTAAAAATCCATTCCGTTGCTTGGTTTTTTTAGAGGTAAAACTACCCTCAAAAAAGTTTTATTAAATTTCTCAGAAACAGATTCAGATATGAAAAAAATATTTCCAATAAAAATTGTTTAACTTGGAATTCTGCACAAGAAAAATCTCTTTCATTT